TATATATATATATATATATGTGTGTGTGTGTGTGTGTGTGTGTGTGTATGTGTGTGTGTGTAATGTGCATTTTAGCTTATATTACTATTTTGAAATATGTATTTATTCAAATTCATCCTGCTGTACCGTTATATTCTACCATGTTGTTGTTTACTATTTATATTCTACCATGTTGTTGTTTACCATCTATCTTTAGGACTTTGTAAATATTATAATTACTTTTTCACTTTTTGGTACTATTTTTTGTATTTCTTGTTGTTTTGTTGACGAGTATGGAGGTTTCTTCTCATCCTCAGTATTTCATTGCATTGTTGACCTTGTGTTGGTTTGCACATGACAAACAAACCAAACCTGAACCTCCCCACAGTTTGAATATTTTTGGTGACTTTAGGGATCAATACCAATATCAATAGTAATATCAACAGTAAAGTATATCTGTGAAGTTTTTGTGGTTCTACTGACCCTCTGGGATCCACTTGTCCGTCTCCAGCGTGAGGCTGTGTTGGATCCACTCCACCTCTCTCCTCTGGTTGTTGCATTTGACACGGACCTCGGAGGTCTTCGGCTGAAGCTGTTCCAAAAACTGCAGCTTGGCGCTGAAGCATGCAGGGTCCTGAAACCACAAGCACAAATACACACATTTCATATCTTATCATCGTTTACATGTTGTTTTATTTTGAATGGTTTCATAAAAAGCTTGTGTGTTTGGGCTGAGTGGTAGAGCTGCATATTCCACACTCAGCTGTAAAGAATAAAGCGCTGCACCTCTTTCCTCAGAAACACCACGTCTGGCTACACATCTGTGGGGTTCGTCACAATATTTGCATTGGTAAAAGACAAAAACTGAGTTCAGGCTAGAAGAAAAGGTCCAGTTTTATTGCTCTACAAACGTCGTCTCTTTGTTTTCAGTAATTGTCTTTACAATGCATCGTGTTTGTTCTTCCAGAGGGCTTCTTTGTTCCACGCTGCAGTGCACTGACCCAGTTCTCCCCATGTGTTCATTAAAATTGTATCAAAGTTGCTGTGTCTCAGACTGGAGGAGGCAGACTGAAGTCTCAGGAGACCTGACCTGCCGTCATGGGAGCATTACATCACCACATGGACCACATTTGGCTCTCAGGCGCTGTACATGCTCGGGGTTCATTTGTTAAAAACATTCTTCTTTAGCAACAGACGCATTTTTTCTTTCACCCATAAACACCTGATAGCTGCCTGGTAAAACCAGGGAATTAGTTGGTGGACACCTTCCTGGGTCATTAAGTCTTTTATTTTGTTTTCTTCTGCTCGGCAGGCTAACGGTCAGCCTCACTAATTAAAAAGGTTAGCTGAGCTCTGGAGATGGAACATCAAAATATTTTTTTACTAACATTTATACTTTCCCTAAAAGCTTTAAACGATGTGAGCACCAAACTTCTTCACCTGAGTAGCCTGATTGGCTAGTTACAAACAAACTTAAAAAGAAACAATGACTTTAGTGCATAGCTAGCTTTAATTAGATTGATGAGTCAAGAAATAATTGTTATGCATGTTAGACGTGGGTTTTACGAGACAAAAACTGAACCAAGTTCAAAGTCTGGGTCATCCAACAGAGATATCTAGACATCTAACAGGAACCCATAGTTGAAGCTGGAGCAAGACAAACACCCCCGCAGGTTGTTTATATTACAAGTTTTAGGTCCCGCCCTCCTACATAAACAAACAGGATGTTGCCCTTTTAAAAAAAAAATAATAAATTTTTCCAAGTGTTGATCCTCGTTGGCTCACAACATTCTTCCCTCGCTACTGTGTGATTAAATATACATTTAGTTGTGATTAATATTTCATTTTTTAAAGAAAAGTCGTGAAACACCATGTTTACAGGCAGAGGAGAAGGCGGGGCTTAAAGCCCAATATGCTAAGTGCACAGGACTCTGGTTCCAAAAATACATTATGGCCGCTCATGTAAAACTTCATCACATGGTTTCAATTCTACATTATGTCTGCATTTCTTTTATGGTTAAGGGTCTGAACAAATGCTTATGTTGTAAACTCATTAAACTAATTAGGTGGAAAAAGAACACATTAAAAAACATTGTGCAAATATCACGTATGGAGGACAGAGTCAGCAACGATCAATAACAAATTAAAAGATTATCGATAAATTAACTAACGTTACGTGACATCAAATGTAACAAAAATAATAAAAAAAGACAAGTATTGCTTCATGAAAGTGACATTGGGTTATTTTTGTATTATATTTTTGCTGTAATAATTTTAAATTACTTCAATTAATGATAAATGGACTGTACATATATAGCTTCTTTCTATATAAGGAAGATACACAAAGCACTTTACAACACAATCTGTGCCCTCATTTACCTCCAACACACACATTCACACAGCACTCTAGTAGACACACATTCAAACAGCGTTCTACTACACACATACAGAATGCTACTACACGCAAATTCATACAGCTCTTTACTACACACACATTCATACAGCACTCTACTACACACACATTCATACAACACTCTACTACACACACATTCATACAACACTCTACTAGACACACACACACA